GTTTATACTCGCGTATCTTCATTCGCATCATTTGGCCAGACTGGTGAACATAAGTTTCGCTTAGTATGCATGTATGTTTGTCCCTAAAACGGGCCACGTGGTAGATGCGTTGTCCGACTGTGGAACTCGCTTCCAAGCCAGATGGTGACGGCTGACACAGTTTGCATGCTTAAAAGAAAACTTGCTCGCCTACTTTTCGACAGAAATCGGCTTTTACAGCATGACTACGCATAGCCAGTTTTATAAAAAAACTGTCATATTCAATCCCTCCACACTAATTTACAGTGACCTTATGATTACGATTGAACTGTGACCCAGTCACACTGTAAATGTCTGTGATCTTATTTTTGAGTACGAATCTGCGAAAGCACTGTACATAAATAGGGTCATCCAGGGCTCTGCCTCTAACCCTCCAAACATATACAACACGCGGGCCATATTTAACTCTAGCAGGCGTTATCGGAGTTGTGCACCGTAACAGATGCTAGCATTTTCGATGTGCGTTGGCGCATCCGGCTGCCGGCGTACGTCGCGCACACTGGAATTCCTGCCAGCCCCCCCTCCCCATTGTTGATGTTCGTCAAAAACCTGGTCACTTGTTGTGTGGACCCGGGGGTGTGGAGTGGAACGCCAAGGTGCGGGCCCGACCGTTCCATCCGTCTGCGCCCTTTCCCGTATCCGCTTTTCTTGACTCTGTCTTGACACCGGGTCCAGGTGAGGGAGGAGACAGTGAGGTGGATGCTGCGCAAATCTTCCACTACTATAAACTTAATTTTCGCTCAAGTCACCATCCCTGACCTCACCGCGCTGTGGAGGACACGGTGGACATCGTCGAAATCGACGGTCGAACCATCATGTATGTATGCATGTATGTATGTATTTGAAGGGTTAGGGACAGTACCCGTAATGGCCCTATTTATGTGTAATGCTTTCGCAGATTCGCACTCAAAATGATGCTGCAGACATTTACGATGTGATCGTATCACAGAATAATCTTTATGATGAGGAAGCGCATCTGTTCATTGTAAGTCAGTACGGAAAGATTGTATATGACAATGTGTTTTTCAGAGCTGGCTGTGAGTAGTCATGTTGTTAAAGCCGGTTTCTGTCGAAAATCAAGCGAACAAGTTTTCTTTTAAGCGTACGAACTGTGGCGACTGTCACGATCTCATTTGGTAATGAGTTCCGTGGTGGGACGACTCGCGTACGTTCACTTTTGACTTTGTAAGGGTGACCACGTATTTGGTGTGTACGGGCAAACTCAAAAAAATTCTCCGTTCTTAGTGAGCAACCCTGGCCACGAAGAATCCGGAATGTCCAGAGTAGACTGCAGTTTAGCTGCCTATAAGAGAGAGAGAGAGAATAAGCCAAGTAAACTCCGCCCCTCCTGGTAAGTCAAATGCTTTAGACCGCCGATCATCTTGGTTGCTCTGCGTTGCACCTGTATCGGATGAGTTATCCTGTTTTGAAACTGATCAAATTCTTCACGATAATGTAGTTTCGAATTGTACATATAAGGAATTCCAGATTAAAATAGCATCTTTAGATTAATGATGGCCGCTGACGCCCTCTTACGCACGTGATGCTTTACACAATGGGACTTGGCCAGGGGTTTCTTTTCTGAACCTTCCCCGTCATTGGTTTTAACCAGCTAATATATACCGGTAAACGTTGATTCTACGTGGGACATTGCGGTCCCTCTGTCTACTTACGCCACGTATAAGGTATCTATCTGACAACAAGGCATGCGTTCGCGAATCCTTTTTTGCTGCAAGTGGTCACCGGAATAGTTTCGAATGTTCATCGTTGTCATCAGTCGCTCCCTAAGCTGTAACCCAAGCTAGGGCTTGGCCATCGCCTCAAGTCTGCCGATAGTCATAAAAATTAAGCTATATAAACGTGCTGTTCCTGTTGTTGCTGGCAGTTATCGTTGTGATGTGTGGGCTCCTTTCTCGAGGCCGAACCGCGTGCAGTGTCAATCACTCTCGCAACTAACGGTTCCAGATGCTCTGACTTTCAGTCAGTCGACCAAATTCAGCTCGAGCGCACGTACGTCCACATAGTCGCAGCTGCTTGTGTTCCATTTTAACACACCACTCCTCGCACCAGTTGAACAATACTTGAGTTTCCTCGACAAACTTATTGAGGCAGTTGAACCGTTCCCTCTCTCAGCCATGGCAGGACCAAGGCAACAGTAGCTCTGGTCTTGGTTATGACCACTGCTGCGTTTATGAGCAGTTCAGATCTCTGCACACCAAAAGTTCCCCCTTTTGGTTCGTTATGTCTTCTCCTGCTACTCGGCACGTGGCTTGATGATCATGACACCTAATTTACGAAAACCATTTACACGCTACACCCTTTTTGACCTGCAAATTACTTATCGGAAAAACATGCACTTTCTACGAGACCTTCACGAATTTACAGAACACGCAGAAAATCTCCCTCATTCTCAAATGGTTCTACACTCTCGCCGGGCAAAACCTACATTTTGGATGTAACTTTTGGCCTATGTCTTCTGTGGTGCTACTTATCGACCCATCTCCTCTAGTTCGTTCAAGGAAAGTAAATTCGTTAGGAATTTCAGCGATGGGCCCTAAGATCGCCAGTTCCATAACATTTCAGACGACGAAATCTCCCTATTTAACAGCGCAGAAATCCCCCTGCTGATTTAATTGACCCAAACCCTAATAGCAAGCGAGCTTGCTGCGAGCTAACGTACTCTAGGGGGGTAGTGGGTCTTTAGCCTGCTCGTGGTTTGATTGGTTCCTGGGTGGGGTGCGCCGGCGACGCGAAGGGCGCAAGCGGCCGCTCATACTTGCACTCGATTATCGATTAGCCTCGGCGGCCGATAGTCCTACCGCTCTCGCCGGTGCCACTTTTTGCTTTCTCACGCTGCGCTGCGCACGCCATGTCTCGGTCAACGCTGCCATTGCCTGTCTTTGCCTTATTTCACTTGTATTTGTGTTCTCCGTTGTCCCCTTTTTCTCACAATTATGTTTACTCCTGTAAATAGGCGTAAAATACGGCGCCAAGCACTTAGAGAAGCTGAAGAAATAATACGAAGAATCAACGAAGAGGTGAGGGAAATGCCGTCGTTGGACACATCATCCGGTAGTTGGTCGGAAAGCGACACGGACGATTCTATGTCCTCAACTTCGCTGGCGAACGGATGCTTTTCTTCCTCGGAGGGTACCAGTGTGTCTACGGACGAAAAAGTTGGTTCAACGGCAGAAGTAGAGGAGGAAGATTTAAGCCCTCATGAAAGTTTGTGAAAGTGGGCTTTACGGTCGAAAATTCCGCATTCCCACTTGAACGATCTGCTGAAGGCTTTGAAACCGTGGTTGCCTGACTTACCTGCTGGCGCACGAACGCTGTTGGGCGCGACATACTTCTCTGCACCGAGCACGGCAATGGTCAGCGGTGAGTACATGCAGTTGGGTCTTGCCACTCAGGTCAACGCGCAGTTGCGTAATATAGCTCTGCCCCCCTCGGTAGAAGAAGTAGTTGTAAGCCTAGCAATAGATGGTCTTCCAATCCATAGGAAGACCAATCGTGAATTTTGGCCTATTTTAGGCACAATTAGGAAGCCAATATTAAGTAAGGTCTTCGCTGTAGGTATATACTGTGGAGTTGGAAAGCCTTCGGACGTGCAGGCGTTCTGCAAACCGCTTGTCGACGATTTATTGTCGTTGAACGAAGACGGTTTGCTGCTCGATGCGGGTTACAGAACTCTGCGCTTCCGTCTGGCTTCCGTCATCTGTGACGTTCCAGCAAAAGCTTTCATTAAGCAGATTAAGAATGTTAATGCTTACTATGGCTGCGAACGCTGCTGCGCTAAGGGGGAGTACATCGATAAGATAGTTTATGATAGTGTCTCCGAACATGCTAGGACAGATGAGGATTTTTTGTCCAGGGACGATGACTGCCACCGCACTGGCGTGCCGCCATTGCTGGCGTGCAACGTGGGAATGGTAAGCTGCTTCCCCTTAGATCCTTTACATTTGGTTTACCTAGGTGTTATGAGGAGACTTCTCAACTTGTGGCTACGCAGCCCTAGGGGCAGTGCATATAGGCTGTCTACATCGGAAGTATCCACTATAAATAAGAACTTGCGCGCGTTGAACTCGTACCTGTCGAGCTCCGTATTAGCTCTGATCGATGACCATTTCAGAGCTCCAGCAGAGCTCGCGTACCTAGCAAAACGAGCTCCCTGCGAGCTCATTCATATCACATTTTGCTATTTTAGGGTAGCGAAAGTCGAAAATTAAAAAATATCGACCCGAGTTTCGTCTTCTGAGTTTTCATGCAGTTAAAGTTCAAATACATCCTACCGAGTCTTGCAAACACATAGTGAGGACAAGGTTTGAAGAGGTACACATAGCATAGCAGTTTATTAACCCACAGCATCTACTACCTAATAACGTAGCCATGGTCGGCATAAGCGTAACTGCGACTGGACATCAGAATATTGCTCAGGAACTGGGGCACTTCGCCTAACTGCTGCGGCGACATGCCCTGCAGCGTGGTCATGTAGGTGTCCGCATTCGTTCATCTTGGGAAAAAAACAAAAGCAGGGAATCTCTTCCTATCCGTGAACTGTTATGATCGTACTACAGTTGTTTCCTGTTTCTGTTTTTTAGCTGTTTTGTTACTTTTGCGCATTTCATATCTTGAAGTGTTTGTACGGTTGTGCTTATCCGCGATTTTGTCGAAGTTTCAACTGCTCCGTGTCGTTTTTATTCAATCACCCAGCTTTCCTGGGTCTGTGCTGTGTCCTCCGGCACTCGGTTCGGGTTTCAGCCCGTACGTATTTCTTTTCTGTATTGGTTCTTAAATGTTCTGAAACCTAAGCAAATGTAAACTTCATCGAATCTAAGCAATCAGCGTATGTATTCAAATCTTAGTTAGCGATCATGAACTCTTTCTCTGAGCGATTTTGTTTAAATACTCCTGTGTTACATCTGACTTTCGGTCTGAGTTTTCTTTGAAAGCTGTGTGCGATGTTCGAGGCTCGTCTTCAGCAGGCAGATGTTTGGAAGAAAATAATCGATGCTGTGAAAGATCTCGTTCAAGAGGCAACTCTTGACTGTTCCGACAGTGGAATTAGCTTGCAGGCTATGGACAGTGCGCATGTGAGCCTGGTTTCTTTGCTCCTACGCAGCGATGGCTTTGAGACATACCGCTGCGACAGAAATATCTCATTGGGTCTAAACATAACCAGGCAGGTTTCTCGAGAAATACTAATTTTCCAGTGCTTCCAAAATCCTTAAATGTGCTGGTGGAACTGATTCAGTCACGCTTAAGGCTGGAGACCAGGCGGACACAATCACTTTCCTCTTCGAATCACGAAGTAAGTGATAGTTTGCCTTTTAATATTTTTCAGATCAAGAGAAGGTATCCGAGTTTGAGATTAAGTTGATGGATTTGGATGTGGACCACTTGGGAATCCCGGTACGGACTCATGCTTACGTTTATTTTCCATAGGAAACTGATTACAAGTGTGTTATAAAAATGCCAGCCTCCGAGCTCCAAAGAATTTGCCGAGATCTCGGTCAAATTGGTGACTCGGTCGTTATTTCTGTTGCGAAGGATGGCGTGCGGTTCAGCTCTACTGGTGATCTTGGGTCTGGAAACATTAAGCTTGCTCAGACCGCCAACGCCGATAAACCTGAGGAGTCGGTGTCAATAGAAATGAGTGAAGCTGTCAGCATGACTTATTCCCTGCACTACTTCAATATATTTGCTAAAGCTGCGCCGCTCTCCAGCCAAGTTACGCTTTCCCTGACAGAAAATGTTCCTGCAGGTAATATTTCCTCCTCGCTAACTCTTGGTAGTGGTCGAATTCTCAATTGAGGAACTTGGCTATATTCGCTACTACCTGGCTCCGAAGATTGAAGATGATGACTCATAGTTTCGGGAAACGAAGATCAAGATATGCAAATCTATTTTATAACTATTTTGGTACAGTAAAATATTTTTTGTTGCGTGTAGAAACATTCCTTCATTACACGCCTTTGACTATTTGTTTCCCCGGCGCCCTCACCGAGCGAGTAGTTTCTCGCCCGTGGAAAGTCCAGAATGGCCTTTAATGTTTATCTAGGAGAGGGCTCTGGAGCTGCTTTACGATGTACACTTTTAACGTCGACGATTTGCCATTTCAACTCCGCCTTGCTTGACTGAACGTGTCACCGTACGGGAGTTAAGAAGTCGGCGGCTCCCAAATCGAAAGACAGCCAGGTGGGGAATCTTATACTGGGGCCGATAGTGTACGTGCGACACCGAAATCAGTTGCAGCTAGCGTTTTCGTCAGGCAATTGTTAGCCGAGATACTTGCCTTCGAGCTTCGTCTGGTTGCGGCAAATCGGTGGAGAAATATCGACAGGCGTCGCAGGCTGGGGATTTGGTCACGTGAGCTAGGCGCACCGAACTCGATGTGGGCAAGCGACGCCGACTTCCGTGAAAACGGACAGCTGGACCGAGGATGGGGCATAGCGAGGTCGGAGGTGTTCGTCTACGACACGAGTAACAAAACGGTCGGGAAAGCGAACGCGGCCTCCACTGTGTGATACAGACGGGAGGGACGGGGCGGAGCCGTGTATAGTCCAGTGGAAGAGTTGAAGGGCCAGGATGATAAGGTTACAGTCGGAGATAGTGGGGCAGGAATTTGACCACATGGAATGCTTGACGGTGGGAGAAGGGGAGAAGCCGGGGCTAGGGCGGACGGAGGGGGATCAGTACACTTTTGCCCATGAGGCATGTCCAGCTGTTCTCCGAGGACAGCAACTCTGACTCGGTCCATGCTGGTCACGCTAGCCACTGCGGTGGATTTAGCGGTACTTAGTAGTGCGTGAGAGTATCCGGGACGGTCCTTCGTATGGTGACTAAGGGTTTGTGCGCATGGTCACTGAAAAAATATGGATGCAGTGGGCCAAGCCCCTTCCGACAGGAATTGGTTGAGTTCACGGCCGGGTCAGGGGCGACGGACATGTAAACTGCCGCAGAAAATGTACAAAGTTGTCAGGGGTCGTGGCGCGGCGAGGCGGTTGAACTAGGCACACGCGGAAGTCGAGGCAGTACTGGATATCGATTTGGATGTGCAGCGGTCCGGATCCGACTTCGGTGCCGTGCGAATGTCAAGAGGCGCCAGAAGTAGGTTGTCAGACCGGTCTGCTGGGTCCTCTGCGGCACGCAGTGGTCTTGCTGGTGGTGAGAATGCCCGACCATGCCGGATGGTACACTGTCGGCCAGATTCACGTGCCACCAAGAAAGATACTGATGGCGTGGAGGATAGGGGACTCGAGGTAGGCATCTTGGTCAGTCGTAACCGTTGATGAGGCATCGAAAATGGCAACTGAACTGCTCACATTCGGCGGCGAAATCGCCTCGGTGCAGCGGGTGTACTGATCGCTGCAGATAAGGTAAGTGTGACCACTGAATGGAGGCAAGAGACCCACGACATCTGGATGAACATGGCTGAACCGTGCGTCGGGGCTGGGGAAGGTGCCTGATAATGCAGACGTGATCATTCCCAAGCTCTGATGTTCCTGTTCATGGCAGGTTAGACGGACCTTCCCTGTGGCTAAGATCCCAGTTCAGTGGGGTCTCTGAAGAGATTGAACCGCATCACGGCTCATCGAAGCGCGGACGAATTGGGTGATGAGGGGTCGAGACATCACAAGTAATTGCGCCATCACCGGTGGTCAGGGAAACGTCTGCTAGCTGGGCAACACCACCAAACTCGTCGCCAAGACAGCCGACCCGTTACCTGGTTGCTATGGCAGTAAGGTCGGTCGCGCAGGAGCTCGGAGACGGAAGGTCTGGACAGCACACCATCCGCCTCATTCTCCGCGCAATCGATGTGGTGGATTTTGTTGAACTGCGAGGTGTCTATGTGGGCGGTCTCTCGGGTCATACTCAGTGGGGTCGAAGGGCAAACGTCAGCGGCTTATGGTCCGTGGGAATAGTGAAGTCGGGGACGCCCTACGGCCATGCAAATGGCGCGTCTCAGCCGACGGGAGTTTCCTGGGGAAGGCCGCTAAGCGGATTGAACCAGCAAGCTGTTGAAGGTGGCCGCCTGCAGATACGGTCAAGGCGTCTACCATGAGGGACAGGGGAGCTTCGGAGTTTGGATCCCTCAGCCGGGGAAGCTTTGATTATCTTAGTGCTCCACCAATAAGCTCGAGTGGACCCTTGAGACCGAAAAGAATGTTGGTTAGCGGTAGTATGAGGTCAGAACATTTCGGTGGGAACCGGCGATAAAGAATTTACCAGACCAAGAAGATCTTCCAGTTGACGCCTGCATGCCACTTGACGGGAATCATGGTTTGCTTCGAAGTTAAAGGACGCAAACCCTCAGAGTCGACATTACGATCAAGGAATTTGAGAGGAGGCGCGCTAAGAGCGCAATTGGAGGTCGAACAGCAAGGGGAGATGCCCTTGTCCATCCACATCCCGATTAGCCATCTAGAAGTCATCGATGTTGGCGCACACAGACAGCAGGCCAGATAAGACATGGTTGATGAACCCCGGAAAAGTCTGGGCAGCATTCTGAAGCCCAAGGGGCATGCTGATAAGTTCGAGGAGGCCAGAGGGAGTAGTGACGGCAGTTTTGGGGCAACAGCTATCCAGTGAAAGGCGTGCTCAAGGCCAGTGTTCGAGAGGAATCGTTTTATCGAAAAGATCTACGAAATCCTGAAGACGAGGCACTGAATACCGGTCGGGAATGATAACATTGCTGAGGGTATGGTAGTTGCCGTAGAGACACGTAAGGTAGGGACGCCGGGAGGCTCGAATTGTGGGATGGTGCCGAGCTGCAGCATGTGTCCAAACTTCTCCTTTGCGACTAGCAGTCGGGCCGGCTAGGCCGAGCGACCGCAGGGGGGCCTATAGTGCGGGTGTGGTGCACAATGTCGTTTTGGATCTAACCACTGCGACACTGGTGGTTGCTGATACCCCGATGTTTGGGAGTTCCCGATAAGGATAAATAGTTGCAGGAGGTTGTAAAGGCATTCAGCCCACGAACAGGTAGGCCGGTTGTGCGGTCAAGCAGTAAGGGCGTCGGCGGTCCACATGATCGGCTGGAAACTCCGAGCCGAGGATTACATGGGGGATGTCGGCAATCGCGAAGATCCAGGTCGATGTTCGGGATGAGGAACAGGCTGCCAGGCATGGGGATGGGACAACAGTTGGCACCTTGGGAATGAAGATCTGGATTAGGGCAGCAGTGGTCGGCTGTAGTGGGAGGAACCACAATGATTAGGGCTCCGGTGTCAAGTGGGAAACGTCTATCATTCAGACTGTCGCTGACTTAGAAGGTGCGACCAGAGTCTGAGGCGCTAACTTGTCTCACCTGTTGGGTATGCTTCGAGGCGAGGGACCAGAGCGAGTTTGAGCAACGAACCTTGTTAACAAATGTGGCATGATACCACTAAGTGGTACCTGTGTTGGGTCAAGATAAAGAAGCGTTTCGGACTTACCAGGTGGGTGGTCTCGATGCGCTCCAGAAAGAAAGGGAGGCTGCCTGCTGCGACATTCGTCATTTGTAACCTTAAGGGTAGACGTAGGAGGAGCTGAGATAGTTGGAAGTGCGACCACAGAGGACTTGACGAAAATGGGCATTCCCGGCCGTTTGGGTAAGTTGTGGCCGCAAGAATGCCAAAAGCGGAGGCCAAAATATGTAAAACCTCTGGTGGTACCTTATTCATTGCCAGTGACTGACTGATTGGGAGGGAAAGATCGGAAGAGGTCACCACTTGTCGCTGTACTAGGATCGACCACATAGAGGTCAACAAATCAGAAGGCAACGAAGGCATTTAGCTGGACAATCTTTTACTGAGGTCGAGAGTGTAGACCCAGCACCACAATCAGTTGCAACTAGCGTTCTCAGCAGGAAAGTTTCTACCAGAATGCATACGCTCGGATCTCGTCCGGTCGCGGCTAATCGGTGAGGAGAGAATTATCTTTCGCCTTCACAAGCCGGAAGTCGAGTCACGTAGATTGGGCGGACCAAAGATTACATGAGCCAGCGAAGGCTCTGACGACTTTGAGAACCAGCAGCTCTATGACGTAACTGGAAAAGGAGGTGGTATGGGCTAACGGACAGGAATTTTAGGTTTTGCCCGCAGAATCATAGCCCGACCTGGTTTACTAAGAAATAATGTCACCGCTAGTGTGTGCATCCTGGAATCCAATTGAACTAGTCTCTTCACTGACATCTGAAGGTTGTCGGGGCGGCCAGACCTGAACTCTGGCCTTGGTTTACGTGAATGAACTTTGTTTGGGCTCTGAAGCGCAGTAAAAGCCGCCGCCGAATGGGTTATGTTATAACCCACTGAGAGGTCGAGTCCTAGCTTTCGACCCGACCACTACATTTCTAAGCGTCACCCCTGACTGTCGGCGGATGTTCAGTCAGACTTTTATATGCTGTAGAAAATAAGTTAAAGTGCCAAGGCGTCGCTACTCATAAACCATGTCTACGATCGCGCAACTTCGTAATACCTTCATTGCTGGGGTCTGGTCAGTCTAGGTGCTCTGTGTGGTCGGTGACAAGTCGACTGAACTGAATGACGCGCCTACGATGAAAAAGTATTCGCAATACGTTAGTTGTATCGGTTGTTGGAGTCTTCGTCATCCCTTCTTTTGTCCGTGTTTAGAGTTTAAGCGAAACCAATGGCGAAACTGCGTAGTTTATCTCCGTGATACACACCTCTTCAACGGCATTATGCGTTTATTCAGTACATGACTTAGTACACCCTAATCCCAGGTATCATTGTGAGTGACAGTTCGACCTGTAGCCATCCTTTCAAGCTCCAATCTCATGGACAGGATGGAGCAGAGGAAGGACTTGCTCGTACTTTTAACCACAGGTTTCCTGCAGCCCTTCCGCTGAGACGTCTCCGCTCTCTTCTCCGGTCGCCTGTCAGCCTGGCTGCACCTTAGCGCTGTCACTCGTCTATGCCACCTTCGGTCAGCCTAACACGCCTGTCGATGACTGCTCGCGCGCGCACGTGGGAGTCTGCCTCTTGTACGCTGACGTCATGACACCGGTCGATAGTTTTGTCCTCATCGATTGGCAGCGGTCAGACAAAAGTCCAGGCATGCACATACTCTGCGCCAGGACTAACAACCTAAATGCCTGCCACACGGCTGGTGAGAACAACCTACGAAGTACTAGTTCGGGTACGAACAATTGCCCTACTTGGAGGCAGCCTACATACGGCTGGAGAAACCCGATCCGTGCAACCAGTTGGATCACGTGACCAACCTTAATCCTTTGAGTTACACACTCCCTCTGCATGCTAACTCCCCCATTTCCCCTTTCCGTACTTGTATTTTTAGGTTTTCATTTCCTAGTCTGTGTACAGTAAACAATGGCCTTGCTGTTTTGTACTGATCTTTTTTTCTGTGGGAATTCAAATCACTGTATCTTTCTCATTCGTATCTGCGTTATGCAGTGAGAGGTTGCAGTTGATAAGCCATCACGAAATGTGTTGATTCCAATAAATTCTGCGGCGCAGACCTGTTTCCAAGACTGTATTCCCTTACTTTGGATTTGGAAGACCTCGAGATTCCGAACAGTCACACGTTCAAAGTTCTGTTGGGAGAGGGGGAGTGGGTGGGGACTGGGTGTCAGACGATTCCATTAGTAGTCGAGGAACGGCTCAAAAAATCAGATTGACGTTCAGGCAATCTCGGTGACTAAATGTTTTTTGGCAGGATTATCTCTCTGGCTCAGGTGGAGACAACGACTGAACGATTCATTTGGAACTTCTCTGACTCCTGTGTTTTACCGGATACCAGCCCTCTACACCTAGAGATTACTACCAAGTCGGAAAAAAGACACCTTGCTCATACAAATCCGTTTCTAATGTTACGATTTGCTTAGCAGATCAGAAGAAGCAGGTGGAGTTCAGGTGTCGGTTCAGGACTGGCGCAGCGAAAGGCCATATGCATGGTTTGGTAGGTAGCGGCAGTTAACTCAGAAAAATTGCATTTGACTATCATATCATCCACAAGACATTTAACCCTCTTTCCTTATCCTTCGATGATATTGGGTAGCCTCTTACGTATGATTCAGATTTTAACCCAGTCTACGATAGTTTAAGGTAGACCACAGATGTGGAGTCGTCTCAGAAGTAACCGCCAGCCTATTTTGCTGGAGATATTGCCGCCCCTAAGGGAGATGGTCTCGACATTGTGGCCGCCATAATGACCTCTGCCAACGAAATTCCCGACGATTCAAACCTTTGCGAGGCTTGATCCACCGTTAAGGAATCCTCGATCATGTGAAGAAACGCAGAGACGACCGCAGAAGATGCTCTCACTGGCTTCGAAAATCAGCATTGAGGCTAGGCGGACTGTGCTTAACCGCATACTCGGGAGCATTCGGGCGTCAACTTGCCTTCCCATGGGCCGATGTTTTGGGTTAAATGACAAAATTAAAGTGCAGTCTGGGAGGCCAGACGAGGACGAAGATTGCTCGTACCGTAACTCGTGAGTGTTTCAGCCTTACACTGCTTACTTGGATTTGGCAGAGTTCAGGATGTGTGCACGAGCATCACCAATGTGGGAATATGTTATGTAACAGTTCCCAACATCAACTACTGAATATTAGAGCAGTAGCGAGAGTTTATCGTTTCAAGTTTTTGAAGCTATTCTGCTGCGCAGAAATGAATCGCATCACTAGAGCAAACACGAGGAAGATCCTTCCCTAATTGGTTCATCCTGCTAGGTAACAGGCACAGCCTCACGACTGACCAGATCCTTTCTAGAGCCAAGTTGAGAATGTGTTATGTAACAGCTCCGTACCCCAACTACTGAACGTCAGATCAGTAGCGGGAGTGCATCGTTTTCGTTTTTGCAGTGACGCGCTGCTGCAATGATGAATTAGAGCAGTGTTCGTTGGAAAAAAACACTGAGAAAATTATTTCCCGACTAGATTATCCTGTTAGCCACACAGGTACGTGGATGGTTATTAAAAATATGCGGGCGACACACAACCTTTTCTTGATTTGAAGAGTTAGTCAAAGACACTCTGGCAAGGACACCCGTGCAAACACTGTAATTCCTGCAGTTTCCGGTTCAGGGAATCATCAGTACAGCAAGTTTGCGTTTTGACCGAAATTTTTGTGATCACGTAGTACTTCGGGACCCGTCTCCTTATCATGCAGTTTTCCGGCAAATATTGGAAACGAGTATTCTGATTCAAAATACCCCCACACGGAGCGGAGCATTAGTAAACAAACAAATCATCTCTAAACAGACAGCATCTAGGAGAAGCTTAGGGAGATTCATGACTTGCTTCATGAAAACAGGTATTCTGACAGGTTCATTGCAAAGAATACCGCCGAACGTCCGGAAAAAACCATTACATTGACTGCCGAAAAGCAAACTCTGTTCTTCAAAATCCCTTTCCAAGGGAACGCCGTGAGTGAACTCCCGAGAAGACGGCTTTAAAAAGCTGTCTCACGAAACCTCTCAGCAGCAAAGGTTCTAATAGTATTATCTCCTAACCCTATTTTACGCGGAGAGGGTAAGTACAGGTTACAATCTCAGACCAACTCAGAGGACATCTATTCCCTCCTTTGTTCCTGTGGGGAAGGTTATATCGGTTGCATGAGTCGGCGTCTATCCAAAAGAATACGAGAACACATCCCGGTATGGCTAGGAAAAGGCGAAACTTGTGAGCATAAACAACGCCATTCTTGACAATTTTGTTGATTCCGAGCGTCGTGTGGACCCCGGCGAAGCATTTCGCTAAGCCATTGGGCTAGCGTTTGTTAGCAACGGCAGAAGCGGTCGCAATCAGGTAACGAAGGCCGACCCTGCGCATACAGAAGAACCTCGTCCGCACTTACCCTGGTCAAAGGTCGACCAACTACATGCAACTTTCCGAACCCTTCCAGACTCACATCGTCCGTGTTTTAAAGCGAACTTTAATCGATTACTCAACAAGGATGCAGTATGTGGCCATCGGGTAATACGAGTCCTATGGGTGGGACTAGACGGCGGAAAGAAGAGGCCGATAGTAGGTAAACATTCGGCATATTGCGTCCTCGCGCTAGGTTTCTCTACAGCTGCTTGCAATAGAGCACCCATACTAGGAACCCGATCCCTTGAGGAACGATGGGGGTATCGAGATCCCTGACAGATCAGGAAGAAGTTGGGCATATTCCACAGCTCTTCCCGTTTGTTTTCATAAAAGAAGTAGATTATATTCCATATAGTTACGAGAGCGCGGAAACGTTAATTATAAAAAAGACAAAGACGCAATATGCCAAGATGACTTGGCTTTTGTCCTCTGAGTGGGGTCGGATATAGTACCCTCGCCGATTTCTCTATTCACTGACGCTTTCGACTTGTACCCAGGTCCCATATAGGTGTGCCATCTTGACGAGAATTTATCGAAAGCAAGCATATGCTCACAAACTAGTTTTTAAAATGCTAATGATTAAGTATATGCGCGGGGCAAGGGAGAATTATGGAGAACTACTTGCTATATTTTTCAAAGAATGCGCTGCTCTGCAAAGATTTGGTCGGCTTTTTCTCGGTAGGAAGACACTCTCTGACCTGTATCGGCCCGAGAGGCCGGTAGTGCTGGAATTTTTACATTGGTTCATCGTTCTACGTACCCCATGCGTAGTTCTTTGGTAAAAGGCATGGTCAGTCTAAAATATTTCCGATGTGGACAGCGGTCAGGTCGAAAAAGTACCTGAAATAATAATAGATGGAATGCATACGTCTACTAGTAAATTGGGAGTATAAACGCTGGTGAAATTGTTAAACAACTGTTGGCCCTATCTTATTAGAAGCACATACTTAATCCTTGCCTTCGGAATAAAGCACTCGACGTGATAACGTATCCATTAAGGGGCATTGCAGACGGCAAACAAGTGAACAGTCGTTAATAACAAATAATCAACAGGTCTGTATAGTTCCACACTGACCATAAATCAAGTAAGAATTGTCACATTATTTGTACATGCGGAGGGGGAGGACAAACGATCAAGGACGCGTCACAAATAACAGTTTGACCGTCGCGCGCGAAGATGTCCACCGTGTACTTCACAGCATGGTGGGCACAGGATGGTGACTTGCGCGTGAATTGATTTACAGCGGTGGTGAACTTGCACAGTATGCACTGCACACTCTCCTCTCTCACCTACCGTCGAGAAGCCGATGAGGACAGTTGCATAGCGACCACCGCCAACTAGTCGCACTCTGCTCCCGGCCAAGAGGGTGGGGCAAGTACTAAATAATGCAGAAACGACAGCAAAGCTAAGGAAGATATAAATAGTAATTCGTGGCTCTGTGCCGCACTCGGACTGTCATGTCAGTTCCGCCGTCGATAACAGTGATGTCCACTGTGTGTCCAAAGCGTGATGGGCGCAGGACTGTGACTTGCGTCATTTCTTCTTTATTCCAGACTACGTTCTCTCCACATATCTGAAGACAGGCAGTATCTACACGCGAGCCGGACAGCCCACAAACCTTGGTCCAAATAGTGCTGGACCTCGAGCCTCAGTGAAGAAGTAGATGCCGTGGATGCCCTCGAGAACTATGGAAACAGCATCTGCCTGTTCTGTTCACTGAACGGTTTTCAATACCCGGTGGTTAACAGGAAGAGTCTTCTGTCCCTTCCGAGCGTTGGTAAATCGAACAATTCGATATCGAATAAACTTGCAGATGACGAGGTGGCGAGCAAACGTTGCTTCCGATAACTTCTCTTCAGACCGGTACAGTTATATGGAAACGGGGTACAGTGATTTAATTAACATTGACCTCGTGTTGGGAATAACTGGCAGTTCGACAGTCGTTTGTGGCGATGTCCGAAATGTGTCCCACAGCATCGTGGGCCCGGGGCAATGACTTGAGCGCGACTTAGTTTAGAGAGATACCATACTGCGGTTGGGTGGACGGTGCTTGGCAGCAAAACCACTTGCAATCCCGTTCAGGCATGGGATCAGTGGTAGTCCGTGTGAACTCGCCTTTTCATTAGCAGCTGTTTTCGGCTAAATGTCGATGTGAATGACAACACTGATGACAGGGCTTCTTTGGGAAAGGTAAGAGCTTTATCGGTTGATCTTAGGCTTCGCTTCCCACGGTCGTCGCCAGACGAGTGTAAGTGCACAAAAAAACAGTCAATATTTCAAACGTGCTCAAAAATCAATACCTGCCCCGCGTTTCAGCAACTATGCGGCCGCCGCATACGTTATTGTGCATTGATTGGTTCCCGTCTCTCCCGTAATTTTTCTCTGAGATTTTTGTACTTGGCGTCTAACCCAATATGCCCATCAATAATGCATGACTCATCTAAGCGCATGACTTCAAAAAGTTCTGGCCTTTTTCGTAGGACAGACGTCAAAAATGCGAGCATTGTCGCAGGAAAAAGTGTTCCCAGTATCTAGTTTGTGCAGGGCCATTTGAGATAGAGGGTCTCACCTCTTAACTACCAACTCAAGATCGTGGATGCGTGTGGAGGCAGGCTTTTCACTTTGACCATAATATACGTCATTGCATTCTACTCATAAGATCTTGTAGGCAATTTCCTTCTTCTGAAGATAGTCAATCCTATCCTCAGAATGTACATGCTGACTGCGTAAGGTAGTCGCCGGTCTGTGCGTCACTTGTATTTGGTGTTTTCTCATGTGCTTTTGGACGAAATCAGATCGGAAAACTGTACACTATAAAAGACAAAATGCTCGACGTGGTACCGCATCCGTAGAGTGGCCTCGTAGTAGGCAAACAAGCGAACAGAAATTTGCAGCAAGTAATCAACAGGTCTGTGTAATTTCAAACTGATCATAATCCAAATAAGCAATGCCGCATTTGCGACAGTAATGGTCAAGAGGACGAGGCCAACATAATCTCTCCACCGGAATAGGCAAATGCCAATGCCAACGACCCAATGTCCCTGTCTCTGATAGATAGCGGCCGCCAACCAGTGAACAACATCTCCAGTGAAGAAACCGCAAATGGTCCAGTAAGCGCCGAGGATAATCTGCGTTCCACTCATTCACTGCCTGCCTCAGCTGGCGAGGGTGTAGCCTGACTTGCCCTCACTTTGTCTCAATCTTGCTGCGTTTCGCATTTTTGCTCATACAAGCCCTACTGGAGCAATGCTGAACAGAAATGGCAACGAAATAAAGACTCGGTACCTGACTAGCATCCTTATCACTTCTCAGAATATTTCACGCTCGACTGAACTTTGCAATGAACAATTCATATGCGTGCCAGTCAGTTTGCCTTTGTCCAGTTTCCTTGCTGAAACAGTATTGCGACGACTACAGCCAACGGTTTTTGAGCACTACTGATCAAAACGGTGGATTTTGTGTGTCAATGGCGCGTCAGTCATCGTCAAGTGGAAGTCGATCGTACACTTTATTAAACACGTGAATGTTACCTTTCCAGACACCGGATTTGCTATGGAGAAATAAAAGAACGATTAGTTGCCTATCGCAGACGTGTTAGTCTGCAGAAGAAGCAATGAGAAAGCAAAATGACCGTGAGTTTGAAGGTGCACAGTAATCCCCGTATTCTAGGTAACTACACATTTCATAGAGGCGCAGATTCAGCTGAACGCTCTACCGTCGCGTGGCAAAGCCATCTTTTTTAACGACACCGATAAACAAGATAAGCCAAAGTGTGCGACAACAAACTGTCAGCCGTCCAAGTTTCACACATCGAAGTTGGGTATGACTGGCTGACGACGGCTAATAAGCCAGCAGTGGCCATTCCAGTCTCCCTTGTCTTTGCCAGTAATACCGTCCAAGTTGTAGCCGTCGGCGCGAGTGTGCGTGTCTGCATCTGAGCTTTGTGTGGCTGCGGCCAACCAGTGAAGCCGAAAACATCGACCGGCGTTAGCGAGCAGAAGACTGATTCACGCGCTCGCAAGTGGTGGACAGCATGGGTAGGCGTCCGCGCTGACGACTATGAGAGCAGGCTGCTACACGTTCACCGGCTGAGTTTCGGGACCCGCTCATCCCGTTTTGTTTTGGAGTTCGATCTAAAGCCCGGCAGACAATCGCACTGCGAAGATGAATATTACCTATAAGGATGGGGGAGACCTACATGACCATTTCTGGTTTATTAGCCGTCGTCAGCCAGCCCTCTCCCAAACTCAGGTTTACGGCACCTGAGCCTCAATCCAGCGTTCTTTGGTCGTCGTGTGTTACCAGGTCCAGTATGTCATTACCGACAAAGACAAGGGGGACCGGAATGGCCATTTCTGCTTTATTAGCCGTCGTCAGCCAGTCACACCCAATCTCGAAGTGTGGAACAACCGAGGCTCGAACTCGCGACCTGTTATTTAGAAGTCCACGCCTCTAACCACTGGGCCACGAGCACGTTGCTCTGTCGGTTTTCGATCGGGAATATACAATGGTAGGGGGCGCTTACGGATCGTTCTTACGAAACTCACTCACTCCGTTGTGCCTTACGGGCTCCCTCTCTGGCCATTCCAGTCTGTTTTGTCTTTGTTGGAACGAGTGAGTTCCGTAAGAACGATCGGTGAGCGCCCCCTACCATTGTATATTACCGATCGAGACCGACAGGGAAACGGACTCGTGGCCCAGTGGTTAGAGTCGTGGACGTCTAATTAACATGTCGCGAGTTAGAGCCTCGGGTGTTCCACGCTTCGAGGTTGGGTATGACTGGCTGACGACGGCTAATAAATCGGAAATGGCCAGTCCAGTCCCCCCCCCCCCCTCTGTCTTTGTCGGTAATGACATACTGGACCTAGTAACGCACGATGACTATGAAAAAGTGTTCCCAGTATTTAGTATGTGCAGGGCCATTTGAGATTGATGGTCTCGCCTATTAACTACCAACTCATGTTCGTGGATGTGTGTGTGGAGGCAGGCTCGTGGGTTTGAACATAATATACGTCATCGCATTCTTCTCATAGGATCATGATAATAAAAGGTCTGTAAGCGTGTGCTATGCCAGTATTAGCAAACCATGACCCTCGCACCCTGATATGCGCTGGCAGTCCCCTGACACCTGGTTCCCTGCCGGTAGATTCGCTCGCGCTCCCACTGGCATACAGTTGGACATGGCTGCGCAGTCATCATCCTCGTCCTTGTCACCCCTGTTGGAGTGTTGTTGTTGGTCAACAATCTGGTAATTTGTTGTGCGGATGAGGGGGTGTGGAGTGGGACGCCAAGGTGCTGACTCGACCGCGAAATCCACCTGCATCTTCCCGCCTCCGGTCTTCCTGACTCTGTTTTGACACCGGATCCAGGTTGGGAATGGGGACGGGAGGGTGCAGTAGATACTGCGCAGGTCTACTGTCACTATAAAATAATTAACGCGCAAGTCACTGTGTCTGCTTCACCTCTCAGTGGAACACACAGTAGACATCGTCGGCAACGGCGGTCGAACTGTCAACTGATCTACACGGATGGCTGTCGTCGAATAGACGAGGAGACTGCATTCTACAGAGCCTCATTATATCAAAAGAACGACTGTCACTGGCGCGTACCTGCAAGTATGCCTCAAACAGAGGTGCAGCCATCCGCATAGCGACAGGTAATAATAAAGAATGAGTACTGGTAAAAACAGGAAAGAGTAAGAGGGCAATTTACAGTTTATTTCGGTTGTTACAAATCAGTTCTATCCGGGAGGGGCCTTGCAGAACCCAGTTTTCGAATCCCCACTCCGCTCATTTAGCTTTAGGCAAAATCATCTGACAATTAATCCAAGACCTCAATGACTAGTCGGCGTCAATCGAGACCCCAACGTAACATGTGACAACACAGAATACATGCGTTCCGTCACGCTGCGGAGCTCGATGGAGTTTCTTCGCATGGACAATGGTAGGTTGTAGGACCCTTAGATAGATGGCCAGCCAGCGTTCCGTGTCTTACGAGAATGGTAATAATGGGGATTTTACGAATGGCGAAGTAAGCACGTAGGATGGAAAGTGAAATTCAAGGGGGTGTAGAAAATAATTTAATGTCTGCCGTAAAACTTAATATGCGCTGATACGTAGCAACGGAATGTTAGCGCGATAATCAAAAGATAAACAAAAAGTAACTTTCAAAATATAATGGAGTTTGGAGAAGCCTCCAACGGTAAATTTGCACCCGGTCAGGCAGCCAAGGCGATTCCAGCCAATAGGATCGGCAAACGATAAGTGATGTTTCCGCTTCCACTGTTTTTTTTTAGCGTACGCGTTTGAGTTGTCAGTGAACGATCGCGAACCTAAATCAAGCAATCAGAGAACGCGTCACGAGACCGGCGTCATGTGATTATTAGCAAATACCGCCGTACGCTATTAAAGACACCTGGTGAAAAGTGTGGGAAGATGTTTAAGATGTAAATTTGCGGAAACATAAGCTGTGTAGGAATAACTGACAAAGTATATATGCAGATATTCAAAAACCCAACATAAATAAACCAAGACGGCAGTGTAAATAGGAAATACCTAGCGAAGAAGGATATGTTTTTAAGTACAGTAGATGTGCTAACTCATGAAATGTCAACCAAAATTTCGAAATGCGTTCTCGTTTCGAAAAGATAAATTAAGTAGTGTTGTAAAACTAATCATGATGCAGCATAAATCTATAATGATCCAGTTACCTCAGGGTGTCGGCTTTCGAAAGAACTTATTTTCGGCTGCATGCAAGATCTATACTCTGCAAAAAATGACTACTAAGTAGCATGCACTCTTCTCATTGATTTTCGATGCCCTTGAAAAACCAATTATATTTCATGGAAAACATACATAAAAATATTCATTCTTTTACTTATTCGGTAGAAAATCACGTCTTCTTCCAATTTCATACTCAAAAGAAGAGTATAATTCGGTTTTAAAAAACTTTTCTAATTCCCGAATAATTGTGAACCCGACCTGCTGTTACACTTGCATTCAGGGTTTCAAAACTACAAGCTGCATATTTTCCGTGTACGGAAAACCATGCATTTCTCTACGGTGTTAAGAGGATACAATATGAGGTTCATAAAATTAAGCAGTGGTTTTGAGCAATATTGTTAACTTTACAAGCCACATTCGTATATGCAGATTTATAACGTTTCATGAACGGCCATTTAACGGTATTAAAAAATCTCACAATTAGAAACTTTTTAAAGACCGAATTATACCCTTACGTTGACTGTATAATTGGAAGACGTGATTTTCTACCGAATAAGTAAAAGAATGAATATTTTTATGTATGTTTTCCATGAAATATAATTAAATTTTCAAGGGCATCGAAAATCAATGAGGAAATTGCATGCCACTTAAGTAGTCATTTTTGCAGAGTATAGATCTTGCATGCAGCCGAAAATAAGTTCTTTCGAAAGCCGACACCCTGAGGTAACTGGATCATTATAGATTTATGCTGCATCATGATTAGTTTTACAAAAATACTTCATTTATCTTTTCGAAACGAGAACGCATTTCGAAATTTTGGTTGACATTTCATGAGTTAGCACATCTACTGTAATTATTTTTTCTCGTAAAATTGTATACCATGGGCTGCAGTAAACAGGAAAACTAAACCACCGCATCCAGGTCGACGTACGAGAACTGAGAAAGCAATAGAAGTCATTAATTCTGAGAAGACTGTGAAATTCTGCCAAATCAGGGACTATGGTCTAAAGTGCTAACCTGCCAATGCAGACGTCATATGCAGCTGCAAGTTAGGAAGCAGGATGGCTGTGTGTTGTGGTGTGCACGATGCAGAATGCGGAAGGCACTTAGAACCGGCTCAGTATTTGAGAGGAGCTGATTAGCAATCAGAACAATCACGAAGACCTGGCTGGCATTTTTGTAGGGAAAAAGGATCACCAAGTGCGAAGAAATTGTTGCTGTGGTTCGGGTTGAACGTCGTAGGGCTAAAGGAAGCATGAGAAATCTTTCTGTTGCATACTGCGAAGGCCTACACGGTGCAGCGGCAGCCGGCACGTCCGAGGTAAAAGGATATTAGCGTAAACGGTTTGTAGAATTCTTGGTAAATTGAGTCACGCGTATAAGCCAAAACAGATTTCGGCGTGTATACAGCAATATTGGCAGACTAAGGTAATAATAAAAAAACGTGCAAACCTCAA